AGCAAGTTTCTGTAAAGGGTTAACAAGAGGTCGGGGAATTACGTGAATAACCCAACATTCTTATTCTACAAATGTAGATTTGGTGCTCTTTAACATTGCCTTCAAAATACAGGCAGACCCTAGGATACATCACAGGGGCCTACCGGATTCTAAGAGATCGCGACAATGCCCTGAATTTCAATTACCTTTTCGCGTTGGTCACAACGATTAACTAGCATGGAAAGTCTATCAAACTTCAGGGAACTTGGTCGCCCCTTGATTCCCGTCAATACTCCTTGTTGCATCGAGTTGGTGGAGCCTTGAATGCATATCAGGGGCATTGAAACACAAACCGAATGTTTGTTTACTCGAAAAACGCAGCTCAAACAAACTTGAAAAATCCGCTTCGTCAACTCAAACCTTCGCTCATGCTCTAACACGGATGTGTAAAAGTTCGCCTTTTTCTCTGCACTCATTATTGGTGCCCGGGTTCCTGCTCTCACTGTCCCTACCATTTTCATGGAGTGAATATGATGCTGATGCTATAATAGTGGCAATGTTATTCCGATTCGAATGCTTTCATGTGCGCTTCCAACAGGGACTTCAAAGCAATCCATATCACCCTAAAATATACTGTTGTACTAAGCTCCATTGTGACATAAACTTGCGAACCTCAATACTTGTGGATTGGTCGATCGCTGAGAGTGTTTAACTTGATCGAAAACCTTACTATGTTTTCAAAACAACCTCTTGATAGTTTTTACCATGCTAGTTTACTGCAGTAGAAGAACATTTATTCAGTCCTGTATCTCTGCTCCGTCTGCCCTGTTTGATTATCAGGCCCCATTTGATTTCTGCTAGGGGGCATGGGATGCATGTATGAAATGACTTAAATTATCAACTAGCTGAATTGACAAGTAGTGTCAGATTACAAGATGCGGTAATGCTGAGAAACGACACGTATCTCTATCCGTCCCAAACCGTGATGGGGAGAAATTTTCGTGTTAAAAAACATAGACCTTCTGGGCGACCTCACCGATCCACGTGATTTCATTGATATGTGGGTCCAGTGGAGCTACCAGTTGATTTGATCCTATAATTGTCATGCTTTTGCGTGAGTGCTAAAGACTTTACTGTGCTATACCAAAGAACAATGTGCAGCGATATTCATTAGGGGTGAACGACATTTCTGCGATAGTAACTGTTACCTCAGTGTTGGCCGAAGATCACGAAGCCTAAATGGTACCTAAAAACCAAATCCTCGTTGTTGGCCGGAAGATCCGGGGAGAACACACATTTTTGTCCCTTGTGTAGTGATGGCAGACACTACTCTCGCTTACCACGTCGACTTCGGTATAATCATCGGGATGGCAGAATTAAAAATAAAAAAGCATAATAACACAGGCGTTCCCTTTCTCGACGAAAAGGTTTACGTGCTATGTATTCAGGCGCCAAAATACTCGCTAAATAAACCCCTTTTCTAAAATGAAACGTAAACCCTGAAGCACCCTTCACTATTCGGCCGCTGTTACCAGTCCCGTCCTCGGACATTATCGTGCTCTTGACTAATTCCGAGCTGGATTCTCAAAGCCCCAATGCCAGTTTCGGATTCGCCTGTCCTATTCTAGAGAATTCTTCTTGTGGGGAAAAAACCGCGAAAAAAAAGAGGCTTTGCTATTGTTCTGAAAAAGATCGGCCGACCATAGAGGAAAACTCATCTCAGCACCTTCGTTCAGGACAACAATAAAATAGCAGCCTCTAGGATCCATCGTACACAACCAGTAGCTAGTGTCTCCTGAATGGAAGTACTTCCGTTCAATCTCGTAATTGGCTGGGGAACTTGTAGGTTTGCGCAGTTCCGTTCAAATTGACTGATAACTGATAACTGATAATAAGACGTTTCACGGATGGAGGCCAATTTGCGAGTCCCGGGTTCTTGTTGTAAAGAGGATGAACACGCGATCTCTGGGACAGTAGGTGTATTAGTCTGAGCTTTCGAGCTCGTACAGGAGACCATCGTCAGAGACTGTGAGAATGCGGCGTCAAATGAGCAGTTTTTGTAGCCAGTCCGGAGAGGCGACCCGTTGTCTCCAGTAGCCACTAACACCCCGGTGGAAGGCCACGAATTCAACTTCGCGAGCACGCGGATAGTGACGCGGGTCAGCAGTAAGACAGGGCGAGAACTGCTGGGGGACTGGGTGTCTGACACCGACTCCATCGACAGACACTTTTATACACCCCCGCACCTATCACGCGCTCCGTTCCCGCGGCCATGAGCCGTGACCCAATTCCCAGCCAAGGGTTCAGGCAGTCACGCCTCCGTGAGAAGACATGGACTCAGCCTTATCACGAACACCACTCCCCGCACTCCTATCCCCCCTTCATTGTTTGACTATAAAAATCCCTTATTTGACGTCGCATTCTCACAGTCTCTGACGATGGCCTCCTGTACGAGACCGACAGCTCAGACTATTACACGTACTGTCCCACGGATCGCGTGTTCATCTTCTTTACAATAAGAAGTTTATTCGTGTGAGCGTACGGACACCTACAAGGGTTCGCCATCGCATGTGAAGGAAGTGACAGTGAAAAGACAGCACTTGAGTTCTCTTTCAGCTAATCAGTATCCTGTGTGAACTGCCTAACATGCATTACCAGGGCGTTATTACGCGAGGGGCAAATGCCGTCAACAGTTGCTTGTGTTTACCGTATCCAATGCAGTAAATTTCCTGTGAGTATTTCAGTTTATTTTTAGTTCAGTTTATTTGATAAGGATGATAGGCAAAGCCTTTGAAACCCGTAATTATTACACGTCAGCTCGTTAGAAATAACAGTACAGTAAGAATGAAAAGATTCTATATATAAGTAGTACTTGATTCATTTGAATAGCATTGTCGCAGAGAAAAAAAATATGTGGGGAACCGGGGTGTTTAGTTCAGATTCAGACTGTCGAGGGAAAACAGGGGACACAAATAATCATCCAAACGTTTCTTGAAGAGTAAAATGAATTTACCAGAAAATTGGAGTGATTCAGCGTGACTAGCAGTGCTTTGAAGAAAACGGCGGAATTGGACGGCTATACCGACTCCCTGTGGACAGAAATGTTGCAGAGTAAACGGGAACCCATAATACGTGGTGAGTGACCAAATGCGTGGATATGCTCCTGTTTACAGGACGGTTCTTCCGATTGACGAAAATAGCGTTCTAGCGGTACGAAGGAGGGAATACAATTAAAGCGACCGTGATATACGTGTAGACATAACGTAGCGTCATTTGAATGAGAAGCGACACACCAGTTTGCCACGCATCCACATGCCACATAAAACCCTGTTATGCGATCTGAAGGCATAGCTGCGGTCGGCCCTAAATCCCTGAAACTCGTGGATATGCTGTCGACTTGAAGAGACTACTTAGGCGGGCGATTGGAGAACTGCTATAAAAAGCTGCGCGGGGCACCGTGCATCGTTATGCTATGACGGCAATCGAAATGCGGAGTTATACTTCTGCCTGGGAAGTACCTTATGACTGCCTGCATTAGAGACCGCACCGGTGAGTGAAACTGTCGGGCCCTTGTCACTGTGACTGTCTCTGATAATGGCTTCGAGTGAGAATCCGAAACGTCGGGCCAATAAACGCCTTGTTCGAGCGATCGCATCTTCGTCTTCTGAATTGCTCCCTGGAGCTCGCCTGTTGGCTACTATCGGGCATTTATCACGCCGGTTGCTAGCGCCGGCCGGCCAAATCATGATAACTAGCGACTCGGATACGAGCGACCGTCCGAACGTCAAGCACAAGTATCTGCAATGAATGCAGGTGCCGCTAATTCTGCTGGGCACCCGATGGCATAGCCACTCTATCCCATAGATGACGCGCGTTTCGCGCCTACGCCACCTTCATTTACTACTTCCTTTGATGATGGGCTCGGAAAGTAAATCAAGAGGCCAGGGAAGTTGTTTTAGCGACTGAGTTTCCTTCAAGTCAGGCTGTCATCTTGCCCAACTAGAATTCGGACTTCATCCCCAGCAGTCTTTCCAAACCCAGATTTGTGACAACGGCCCACTTAGACGGAATGGTAGCCTCACTAAACGAAGTTCGAGGTACGAGTACGAAGCACATCTGCCCCTTGAAATTCGGCCAATTTAAGTGGCTGGTCCACGTAACTGGAACATGCTGCATACTGGTCAAACAGTAATTTCTTTCTGTGAGACAACTGAATGCCACTGACAAAGTACTCGAAAAATTAAAATATCACGGCGCCAAAACTGGATCCAGATTACGGTCTGTGGTCGTGTTTATGCTAACTGCGACAGAAATAATCTCAGGCTGACCCCGTCGGTCTGTTGACTGTCCCTAGTCTCTCATTTGCGCAAAGCTAACTAAAACTTCCATGGAAGAGATTGGTGCGATAGTGGTGAAGATGAACTCGAAAGTGTACATAATTGCAATCGACGGTTAATTCTATGCGGACTCGCTAAACGGCCTTTTTAAACAAACAACTTGGGCAGGACGTAGCCGGAGAGAGGATTCAAACTTCTCGTGCCAACCGAAGAAAACTGGCACAGAAGGATCTAGGACGCGAGCCTAACGCTCAAACAGCCACGGGTGGCGGGTCTACCGTGTAACTGAGAGGAACCATCGTGTAATGCGCTATCTGTTGCTACAGCAACGATTTAATGGTAAGGAATTTGAAGGCCGTTCAAACAAAAGTAGTCATATAATTTCAAAGCGGAGTCAAATGCAGACAAAGTGAAGGTGTGACATAGGGCTCCCAGAATAAATCGACAGGTCATCGAGAGTTTATGAAAAACCGCTTCGGACAACACTGTTACTAAACTGTTTTTGTAAAATGACAAGAGGCTCGAAAACCCAAAATGCTTTTGTGCACTAGCTTGAATAAAAGGTCTCAAGTCAAGAAAATAAAAGGACAAAACAACTAGTACAGCGAAAATGTTGTGATTGGCTGGTGTGCAGAGGGAGGGGAGTCGCTGAGTAAGTCCGCAGGCATGCCATGGAGGGACTGGCTAGGCGCACATCTCCATCAGCACAGCTTTCGTGAACTCGGTTGTAGTACAACGACCGCCAACGTCTGTGGTAAGGACTCTACCCGCCTTGAGGACACGCAAGAGCGCCCGCTCCAGACGATCGCCGTATACTTCGAGGTTGATATGACGCAGGAGATTAGTTGCGGCCAGAATTGCCGCTGTCGGGTTGGCAGTGTTTCGGCCACTGGCCTGAGAAAAGGCGTGTGCGGTGCCCGGCTGGAAAACTGCCACCTAGACGGAACGAGGAAGACGAGATAAAAAGCAGCACCGGCCAGAACAGCGTCGAAAAGAGCAAGAGGGGACAGTCAATGAGTAATGTTGACTAGCACAAACATCCTCAGTCACGGGTTATCTCAGGAACTCCAAACACTGGAGTTACCCGGTCTGCAGTATAACAGAGTATATAACTTTTTTCAGCATTGGCGAGCATATTTTTTAAAAAAATTATTGGTAATGACCGTCCAATTGTAAAACCCTGATGACAGTTCGGTGACAAAAGTGGGCAGACAAATTCACATGAGTGAAGAGGAAATTAAAGAAGGTCACTTGTGATCGAAAGCCGCTCATTTAGGCACATCCCAATCAGACCAAGCAGACCCTGGAAGTTAATTCAGATCGGGCAGTTCGGAGTGAAGTTTTGCAGAATCACCCTAACGATTGTCAAACACACCAAAATTAAAAGACTAAGAAACCCAAAGGGCAAGCGAATCTCACCGAAATTTCTAGAGTGCAAGTCAAAGAAAACAGCCAAAACAAATAACGCTATCCAGGCTGTTCTCGATCCTTCTACTGCCCCCCCCAACAACGGGCCACGCTATGGATGTGCTAGACCAAAATGAGACTCATTGGCACGTGGTAATCAGGCCGCGCCAAATCCGCGTAAACCATAACTACTGTCGCATGTGCGGAGGACTCTGTGGCACGCCCAAGCGCAGGCTTCACGTCGCGCCAGTCACTGTGCCCAGATGGCTGACAGGCTAAGACAGTGGACTGGTTTCAGTTTATTTGAGGGAAATATGGGTGTTGAACCTTTGAACTCCCTATTCGTCACAAGGAAGCGAACTATATCAAAAAATTTGAAAATGGAAACATCAACCTGCTACAGAGTTTCTTCAGATTGGCATTGTTTTCGAAACCAGACAGATAAACAAATTGTTCAAAGTGTTAAAAACACTAACGTTACCAACTGTGCTGTCTATGGATAATTGGTGCTATCTCAGTTTCTGAGGGAGACGAATTGAATGCATGGGACAATAATAAAAAACAAACGTTACTGAAATACAGGCAGTAACATAACAACTGTTCGAACGAGATGTTAAGACGATGTCGGTCAGGTGACATGACGTTTAGTGGTACACTGGTTCACGGGAGAGGGAGTAAGGCCGACACAGGTGAATTCATTCTTACGTCACATCAGCGCATTCCTAACTATCACAGACCTGACGTGCTTGAACTTATCACGATGCGCTAAAGGTTGTGACTTAGAAGGCTAACAACGGGCGGAGTAAATAAGTCCGTGGATTCACAACTGTATACGGCGGTGACTGGCTGGCGGACTGACTAAGACTCAATATTTTCTTCTGAATTGGGTCTATATGACACTCACGTGAGATTCAAGTCGCCTTTACAGAAGACTGACGCATGCGGTGGAGGCCAGGTCGTGCGTGGCACGCGCAGACGGACTGCTTGGTCTTGTCCGCCACTGCATCTGAGCCCGCTCTCAGTCGTCCCAACTGCCCCCAGAAGCGGGTGGGCGAGGAGGGCGCTGCGCAAGTCCGTCCAACTATGAAATAATTCATGCTGGCGTCACCGGTACTAGACTCGACAGTACGGCCTTCGTGCCCGAAGATGTCCACCGTGTGCTCCACGGCAAGGTGAAGCAGGCACGGCGACCTGAGCAGTGCAGTAGCAGTGCGCCGCTGATCCACGGGCTACAGCTTCGGTCAGGAGTGCCCACGACTGTGTGCTCGCAGATATGTTGTGGCTACACGACGGAATGCAGAAATTCCATTTTCTCTTACAGCTCTAGGTTACACATACTTGACGTTCCCCGTGGAAAGATGAGGTGACCAGTGGATTTTAAAATTATTTCAAGGGACAAACGTGCTGATTTGCCGTAAATACATAACTCTGCCTGAAGATTCTTGACGATGCAGAAGCAGTGAGTCTGGACCTAGGACCGCATTGCCGGCAGCAAAATTTCGGTTCTGCAAGAAAGATGGGTTGGACGCCGCTCTCAGTTGACTCTGAGTATTCTCGACTGAGAGCATGCGGGCCCGCAGCTCAAATGAAGTTCGACATCAAATGATTAATAGCTAACTGGCCCGAGCTCAAATCTTTGGCGCTCAGCTGGGTGTTAGGGTGTCACCGGATGATAACGAGCCAAAAGCTAAAAGCGGCTGCTCCGGCGTTCATCGTCTTTCCCGGTACTGTTTCTCGACAACTCTGTTGTACGTTCTTAAAATTATTTCGGACTCATATGTGTGCAGGTGGTCAATACTTGCCAACACGATGAAGTGGAGGTGTTTCAGGTACCGTTAGTACGATCAAATTTTATCCCATGACGCTCATATTAACGGTCAAACATCTAAACTATTCACCCCTACATGACACAAAGTGTGATGGTTATAATCGGCGGCAGGCAGTAGGGGATTATAGGGCTACTCACTGCAAGCATACTGGGCAGATGAGCATTAAGCCCTTCGTCGCAAGCTAAATCACTTACCGTGAACAGCCAGCAAAGTGATTTGGCTACTTTTAGAAGTCTTGTGAGTAGCAAATATACTTCAATGGCACTCAAGGCAGTGTCTATGTTATCGGTTTCGAAAACAGTTGACGTTATTCACGGGGATTTTGGCAGCCAGGTCTATAATCGTAACTACCTCCCCTCTCCATATTTGGTGCTGAGACTTGGCCTAGGCAAAGTAGTTAGCCACGCAGAGAGCGAGCGGATGACCACCGTTTCCGGTGTTAATGTCAGCGAGTCAAATTGCCCAAGAGTCCACATGGATGACGAAACACGGCAGTTGGCAACTCTAAAGCGTGCGATGAGTCTTGGAGTCGATAATTTTGACCGACACGCAGGCGCATAGCAACGGCATACCGCAAAATCTGGTCAGTCGGACCGTGATGCACTCGGGAGATGTCCATTGTGATAGGCACGTAGTGGCCTAGAAACTACATCTTATAAATACTGCAATAACTGGACAATCGAATCCACCACCCTTATCTGACCCTGTCCATGGTGATGGATTCGAGTGAGAATCCGAAACGCCGGGCCAATAAAGCTCTTGTTCCAGCGATCGTGCCCCCTTTTCGCGGCTACTTCCTGGAAATGGCCTCTTCGCTTCTCTTAGAAATGTCGGTCTCAAAAAGAGTTGGTGTTGTTCCACGGGGGGCGACGGTGGTTTCGGAGGCTTTACTGGGCAGATGAGGGGGACTCCAAGACTTACATCGTGACTGAAAAGGACGCCCGGCACGAGTCCGGCCCCACCGATGAGGCCGGCGCCCAGATTCTCAATGATTGATCCATAGAGATTGGGCATAACCATCACATCAAACTGCGTGGGTTGGTTGACCAGTTGCATACAACAGTTGTCCACAATCATCGACTCGAACTGGATTCCCGGATATAGCTTCGAAACATTGAAACAGGTGTCCAGGAAGAGTCCGTCCGCAAGTTTCCTAAAGTATTGAAAAGGCAAAAAATATGAATGGGAAACTGTGACAAGGATTTGTGAACCGTTTTTCCAGTTAGAAATTCACTGCGAAACAGACAGTGCAAATGTCGGTTGGGTTCAGCCAATTCCCTTAAGTGATTCGCGAGACGCCTTTCTTCAGTTCGGATTCCCTGCCTCAGCGTTGCCACCACGCATCCATCCCGCTGCTTTGTCACAGGGATCAGCACTTGCACGCATGGACCACCTCAAGGTCACTGATCCCGGTTTAAAGTGCTCCTGCTACAACGTAACTTCACATCATCCCTGACGTGCCGACCTGGCAGACAGGCACGTTTACAGCCGTGGCGACTGACTGCCTCGGACGAACAAGAACGCCCAGTTAGACATGAGGACTAGAACCTGCCTTCCACACACCGAGAAGGCGGTGAGTCGTAAAGGCAAGCGTAACCTGAAAATGTTGACATGCGCTCTTTATTGTGCCAGCGGACACTGCTGCCCGAGAGACAGCAATCCGAATTGCTATGCGCAAAATAAGTGGTGTCTCCTGACGTATCCTGATGGACATGGTTTTGATTGTAGCAGCTAAGACGCGCCCATTGCTATATTCGCTATAACAGACTCTTACTCGACATGTGAAGGCGGGGCGACCTTAATGTTAGCAATGATGGATGAGACTGGGGCTGTGGTAGTCGTTGCCAAGCCTTGGCAACATTTTCTAACGCTTCATTATGGAGTCTACTATCAGAGAAAAACATTTGTCCATTTGTAGCGATTTGGTCCACCCACGCTGAAAGTGGCTGTTCATAGCCTGATGAGTGGAGAATGGAGGCAGCCTGTCCACTGAGATGGCGCGCAAGTACGCAGCTGGCAGCCCAGTAGGGTGGTAGAGCGAGTCGGTGTCTGTGTGGTACTCGTACTTGACACGGCTGCGACCATGCCTGATCTAGCCGGTCTCGATAATGTGACGAACTGTGCCTCTCCACGCGTGACGATCTGCGGCAGCAGAGTTGGACAACTCAACCCATTCCCTTCGCCAACGACGGAGACCGAATACCGAAGGTCCAAGAACCACCTCCATGTCTTGATGAACTGTGTCGAGCTGGGTTTTGAACTGACCCCCTAGCCTAGCTGCTGGCTATCCGGCGCGTCCACAGGTGGCGGACAGTGGGACGACCTTCAGTAAGGGTTAGCTGCGAAATAAGCAGACCCAGGTCTGACGAATAGGCAGTCGCGGACCAGCAGCGACATTGCTACCAGGCTGCGGTGGGCTGAGATCTGGCACGCTCAAAGCCTTATAAAAAGCCGCAAGGCCCAATGACAGCATTGTGACATGGCGACCGTAAACCGCCATCAAATAAGTTTGCTTGCTACCGCTGCCTTGTGGTTAGGCTTTTAAGCCAAAGCGCTAGAGGAGACATCGGACAACCAATCCGAGCGGCTGTTAGAGACCCGCCAGTATTCAAAATTCCCAAGAAACTTCATGAAATATGTCCGATCTGTGTGGTAGACCTCTCGTGCACAGGCGGGCCGGTTTGCACTGACCCCTGGTCCGGTCTTTTCTGGTTGGACGTGGCTCTGTGCTGCTTTGCAGTGGAAGCCGCTCCATCTTAGTTCTGGACTGCGTTCACTAGACAGTGGTGAGTAAGGCCTAGCATGTTGGTGGGAGGTCCGAAGGACGGTTAACTGAGTCCACTCCCGGGCGTTAGGACCCTGCAACTACCAGGACGTGTTAGTCCGAAACGTCGGATAGATATGCCCTCTCCCTCGAAAATCGACCCTCTAAACTAGTTCCTTCCCTTCAATTCCTAGTAGTGTCGGATTTACCAGTGTCCAAAACTTTTCATACCGCAGATTACTACCGTTTACTTCTCAGAAATATTTTCTCCGAGAGCCGAAGACGGGCGAGTATGATACCAACAAAACTGTGCTATAAGTATACCTGCCAGTCCGCTGGTCACAAAACATGTAGATTGTTCACCAGTGGGGTATTTTGTCTCCGCAGTCATCGTGGACGCTATGGGATGATTGGTGGACATTTCGAACACCGTTTAACCCGAACCAAACCGGAAGGGTGGCAAGTCGGCGAGTGAGTATATTGATAATATGAATAATAATAATAATAATAACAGTCTAAGGCCTGGTGGGCTTCGGGTTGTCGCCACAAAAGCGTCAACTTAAGATCTCGCTGTTAACTACAAAAGTCAGTAGGTATGAAATCCACGAAACCGTTAACGGCCGCACACCGAATCAATCATCAAAGCTCACCAACAACTTTTCTCGGGATTGCACCGAACACTCCACCGATCAGAAAATAGGCCGTCAGCCCACCCTAGGTGGAGACCGCCAAGAAGGCAGTTCCATTGCCCCCACCCATATTTGTCACGATGGGCTCAATAAGAAACCTTGAATAAAAAACAACAGTTATTTCCCTCGTGCTCTACTACCCCTATCCATCGTCAAAACTAATTGCAATCCCCTGTCCAACACTGCTGCGTATTTTGTGGAAAGGTAATTTTCGGCAGAATATAGGAGAACAAATAATGTGGTAGTTTGGGAAGCCGAGTATGGCGGAGCGAAGGGATTACCTGGAAAGCATTCAAGACCTAAACGGTGACGGTATGTCGGTTTAGCGTGTCCTCAACTGCCCATTCACAATCTGTGCGCTAACTATCAACAGACTGCTCCAATTGGCACCAAATTTAACACCCGACTTCCTGTCTACTGCAGTAGCCGGGGACGATCCAGCAGATGTCCGTCGGGAAGGATTAGGCCACAGAATCGGTTGCGACACCACTGCCAATTTTATCATTGGAAACACCTAGACCTGTTTTTATCACAAAATCACGTCCCAGTCTCGTTTCTCGATCAGACATCTCCATATTCACAAGAAAATCAGTGTGAAACCCGCTAGAAAATAAAGATACGGGCGACAGTCAGACGGTATGCAAACATGATATCCACATAAAATCGTGATTGGATTGCACCCTGCGTTTCTAAACCCCATCTAACGCACTCTTTGTCATGATATGTGGTCAGTTTGAAGGTCCCGATGAAAGACAGATTTGTCGCGGTTCTTGCCGGCAATGATAACAAGTCCGTGTTGATATCTGTGGCTTTTAGTCTGGTAACTGGAACACTCGAGGACTTCGGCGACCAAGGTGGGACTTTACTGATATTTGCGACGGCACTCAGCGTTATTCACTTAGCCGACATTAAGAAGAAAGCCGACAGAATTACAAATCATCGCTGCCACTATAGTCGACCGGTAGCAGAATGGCCAGCAAAGTTGAATCAGATGGCATGTTAGCTCTGCAAACCGCAGAGCACAGATGAGCTCGGGGTCAACTTTCACCACATGTACTCGCCTCATCAGTTGGCCATCTTTACACCAATACCCACCTAGACACAATTAGTGGGCGATGGCATGATGGAAGATTCCGCCTTTAGGTCGGCGATGTACACAGCTTAGTCATCTCATGCAGCGATAACCGAGGGGGCTGGTTAATGGTTGTGCTCCTACTTAACTAAATTGGTACTTGCCACGAACAAGGTTGGAAGGATGAATCCAAAGAGAGCAAGCGTTATCGACCAAAAACTTCGGGTATAGCACTATTTTGGTGGCATGAGACCTGTGTAAAAATGGTTCTAATTGGAGCTTTACACACTTAAAGCTTGGCCTACAGACAGATTTCCCATCGATCTCGAATGTTTTAGGGCTTTAAAATAGAGGGAACACGCGCGCGTCTCGTGGATCTGGTGATCAACTCCATCTCCATTCTGCCCATTTGGCAGAAAGTTTGATTCAAGGTAGGAGAACCTAGGCGGGGATTCAAAGACTCTACTGTTTGCTTCGAGTGAGCAGATATCTTCTGTCGAGCGGGGATTGCATTTTGAGTCCGATTTTAGTTTTCCCGCATCTACCTGGGACACAGAACACTGAAGTTATGCAAACAAAGCAAGCCAGCACCAGAACCCTATCAGCCTAGTCTCGGTCCGTTAGGAAGGGCATGCCATTGCGTGCCAAAGGACCCAATTGATAATGCGGTTAGGTAGGGTCAGGAACAGAGCACAGGTATCAAGGGATCCGCTCGTCTTGCCATTCACATGGACTTCAGCCCTTGCTTTGTGATAGTAGACTTATAGCGCGCCAAGTAGTTTCGGTGGCATGATCAACTATAGGGAAGTTAGATGAGAAAAGATAAATAGAGACGAAAAATCACAGGCGCCAGTGGGCCGCTGGTATCAATGGAAGTCACTGGGGAGAACGACCACAGAGACTTCCACGACAATGTCAAGTGGACTTACGCCACTGTAGTTACTACACAGCAAGGTTGTTTCACCATTCGTCACCCGCGGCCTTACAAGTTAGGCAACATCTAGACTTGAATGTACAGCAAGATGGTCACGCGAACAGCCTTACTACGCCACTGCACAAGTTCTGAGGTAAAGCATCAAGAAACGGGAAAAGACGATGTCTTACATAATGTTGGCTTTGTGAACGGCTGTCACCTTCTTACGGCCGTTGCGTTTGGCGAAATCGAACGCGAACTTAGCTATTCGCTCAGAATTATGCCGAGTTATGATCTTCAGGGACTCCACAACACCAGGTACCGATTCATGTTCCATCGACGAGTATTCGCCCTCGAGACATTCGCGGACGACAACAAAATCAACATCATTGTGACGCGTCTTAACTCCGTCGAGACTCCTGATATGAACAGTGTTCGCATAGAGATCCAAAGCACGTCTGTAGGATAAAAAGATAGACGTAGAATAAAACTTCCTCAAAACACATCTGAAGAACCACAGCCGCGGGATGAGTGGCGAAGTATGTTGCCAACCCAGCTCTAAGGTCAAAAGACCCAGAAAATAGAAAGTGGGAAAATTGCGATGCCACTTTAGAATCCATGCGTTCCAACTACTACATCTTCCTAGGAACTTTAGATAACGGAAAAGTATTTGACCATCACATCGGTGCTGTTCATTGAAATCAAAAATGTGCTCGTGTGACGTGACTTTATATCGAATTAAAGCTTACCTCCGACAGTTACTCTCCATACCTTTCTCGGTACCAACATGATGGTAAAAGAACAGAATCAACAGCGGCAATTATCATAGGCTATTTACGTCCCCACTAAGGTGGACGGACCTCAATTCAAAAAGTGAGATAAAAGTACAGTACCGACACGGACAAGGGAGACTGGGGAAGCCATTTCTGGCTCATTCGTCGTGGTCAGCCGATCTTATCCAAACCCAGGTCTGCGGTACCTGAGCCACGGACTCATGTTCCTTGGCCACCGACGCTCTACAGTGGAGCCACGGACCTGCTGTTCTGTTAGTTCTGTTGTTCTGTGCTGGAAGCGCGTTCGATGACAGGGTTATGGGACATACTGGTTCTGGGGTGAATATATCTCCTAATCCAGTCGGTGAACAGGCTTCTGAGACATGAGATATAAGTCTTCTGGCACGGATGGCCAGGGACATCCATGAAAATAGGAATACTTTCTAAATGACTACTATAAATGTAGCTCCGGACATTAAGACTGGCAAAGTATAGCGTACATTGCTATGGAGGTAAATACTGCGGCTGTGAAAGATAGCGGGACAGGTAATTACGGTATAGAAAATATGCGGGCTAATAACTCACCTTAACCTGATGACCAAGGTTTCGGACACACTTTCTCCAACGGGTTCCTTAACAATGCCCTTAAGACACACCTTGTTCCTAGCAATGGAGGCAACAACTTCATCGAAATTGTCTGTTTCCCGACCGGGTAGTTCGCTAAACAAGGAAAGCTTGGAAAGATGACTCACGCCTACCTAAAACGTAGTTCTTCAAAGGTTACAGGGATACCGGTTTCCTTGAAAAGGTACTTTACTGCCATGAAAAGTTCGGGACCAACTCCATCGCCAGGGAGGAAAGTAACAACCCTATTTGGAGAGGTTGAAAACCACTTGGCCTGAGGAAAATGGGGTTAGGGAAGTGCCCTGAAACTGATTACCTTCAACAGGCGCGCGGCGGATGACCCCTTAAGTGAAAGACCCTGGCGAAGCTGAGCATGTGTCAAAAGCAAAACAAACGCGACTAACCAAGTTGACACAGGCAAAACGCATCCCTGGAATGTTAGGTGAATGAAGATGGCCGGGTGCGGTTTCTTCGACTATTGGGGTAGAGGAAGTTAGCATGCTCATCGCGAGTGATCGAAAAAAAGTATGGAAATGAAGACATGGGCTTTTGGCAGATGGAAGACAAGATGACTGTGCAGTCTAAGGCTCAGAAAAGGTCAAAAATTAAGCATGGGACAGGCACGAGCTATCAGAAGAGAAGGCGTGCTTACAGTCCTTATGATTAACGTGTTCACCCTAATGTTCACAATGTCATCAATTGCAATTAGTGGCAATTCATCACCCAAAGATATAAAACCAATCAAGGATTAAAATGCTATTTAGTCGATGCAACTATAGGAGCTAAGATAAGATGCGACAATAAACTTCGAATCATTCACCATAAAAATTGTTCCCTATCCACAAATTTGAAGGGACCCCGAAGGGTCTTTACTAAAAATTACCTACTGATTTATTTAAATTAACCGACGAACCCTCTGTTTTTTGAATAATTCGTCGTATTAGCAGTACAGTCAAACTACCCAAAGTAGGGAGATTAATGATCTGACTGATGAACGTCCTAGGAAATTTCATTTCCTTCCGATCAAAACATGTCAGCTGTCACCTGTTTTTGCATTATAATTCTTTTCTGTGTTCCAGTGGTTAGTCCGAAATAGAAGCACCTGGGCACAAATGAGCGCGGACTTCGTTGCAGACATACAGCTGCAGAACATTGGAACAAGGGCTCAGCATTGTTTCTTCCAACAGTTCGCAGCTATGGTTCCTATTTTCCTTCGTCGTCGGCTACAAAACTCATGATGCTGCCTGTTCACTACCTCTGACTGTTCGAGACAGCTACATTTCTAATTTCTCTTCAGGAGTCGTTGTGTATGACCTAATCGGAGACTTTAGTGTCTTCCGCGAGGATGGTTTAATAGCTTGTTCTCTTTTCCTTACGTTATCAATGGTTCCGCAACTTTGCAGGATTTGATTTCACTTTCGCGAAAAAGCCGATTTTCATAGTAAAAATTCAGGCCATTGGGCAGGACTACGATGCAGATTTTATTAAATGCATATCGAAATCAGGTCTCCAAGTGCTTGCCACAGTTATTTAAAAGGCTGGTTTTTATTGTACACGGAGAAGAACTAAAACTGCTAGGGTAGACTGGTGCAATAAATGAATAGCGGTGACAAACATACTCATATGATACTAAGTTGCTATCAATGGACAGAAATACGTGTCATTGGTTGGACGTAGGTATCCACCAACTTGTAGCCGGGTTCATGAACCTAATTTAACAATCATGTTTACTGAATGATGGTCGTCTTAGGGCAAAGCCCATGCACTTTTCAGTAGATCCGGAAACGCGACGATTGCAAAACCACTTTAAGCTATCCGTTTTACGGACATGCGACTGCCTACGACACACCAAATCGCGCTGCTCATCTATTTGAGCAATTGGGGAAATTATCCAGTCGACCTAATATCATAATTATAGGCGACTTCAACGAGCAAAGAATTGATTGGAACACTGTCAGATCCGAATTCGACGTCTGTCTACTGTTTGTTGCAAAAAATTAAAGGTGCTCCTCCCACATCATGTTCGACCGTCGATTTCGACGATGTCCACCGTGTGCCCCACAGACTGCATTGTGGAGCAGATACGGTGACTTACGCAGGGGTTTATAGTGCCAGTAGACTTGCGTAGCATCTACCTACACTCTCTCCTCCTCCCCCGCCTGGGGCCGGTGTCAAGACAGAGTCAAGAAGACCGGAGACGAGGGAGGCCGCAGGTGGATGGCTCGGACGGATCCTCACCTTGTCGTTCCACCACACCCCCTGGTCCACAAAACAATAACCAGGATTTCAACCAACACAACAGAGATTTGGAGGTTGGCTCGGCCGAAGCCGCACCTGGGCGTGCCACCAACGCCTGGCTCGGATCCCACACTGTGGTGAGAGTGCCATAAAGGTCACATTAAAAAGGAGGTATTGCAGCCTGACTCTCAGACCGCCTCCCGTGAAAGAGGAGGTCAAAGGTACCCCGTCAGTTGGCAACCTTCCAAGCCACGGCTTTTAGCGCACCGTGATAGCTTCAAGCGCGTCAGATTGTTTATAGTGAAGAGAAAGTGCGCTGAGTCGTCGACCTCACTCTCCCTTCCCACTCCCACACCCCAGTCGCTGTCCGAGCCGGTCAGCAGACTGGAGTGGGGAGTGGGCGCGGTGGCTGTCATGGTCGACGGACCATGACTGCGCGCGCCACAGCACGACCTGGCCCCCAATACGCACAAACACCAGGATTTCACACAACGGGGGTTGAACGGCCTGTCTCTCAATTGCGTGAGAGTGCCGTGGAAGGTGCTGTTGCAGCCCGTCCCCAGCCCACCGGTCCGCCACTACACACAACACACACACAACGTGACGAACTGCGTGAACCGAGAGCGGGCCTCAATCAGCAACCTTCCTATCCACGACGCTTGACGTGTCGGGATAGTCTCGGACACAAGTCACCCGTGCAGCCGAAGCCGCATGGGGACCGAGTCGAGATGCACACTTCCCACTTGCGTGGGAGGCGGCAGTTGAGTGCATGAGGTGTGTGGGGGTTGATGTCTGGTGGGGTGATGGTGTTAGGAGGTAGGGAGTGAGGGAATGTGTGGTGTGACCGGCGGTTGTCTACCGCAGGTCGTCGTGGATGCGCATGTAGCCGAATAGACCCATGCGATGCGTGAAGGTGCGAGGGCAGTGTGGTCAGTGGAGGCGAGTGCGGTGGGTGTAGGTTGGTGCTCCAGGCACTGGTTCGCCAGTCTCTGTGCGATGGATTCGCAAGTGACCGACCAGGCCGATGCGTGAAGTGAAGGTGCGATCGCAGTGAGGGCAGATGTAGTCCTGCCCCTCACGTCTGATGATGGAGGTTGCAGGGGTTGTGCCTGTTGTCGTGTCAGGTGCGGCTGCTATGAAGTCATGCGCTACAGACGCCGGAGTGGCCGTCGTTGTGGCAGTGAAGGAGGAAGGGGAGGAGCAAGGGGAGAAGTGAGGGGTGGTAAGGTCAGTGGGGTCGATGTCGGCTGGGGAGTGGTTAGTGAGTGCACAGGGTGATGGATTGGGAGTGGGGCTCGGCGGGGTGGGTGTGTCAAGGCTGCGGTCAATTCCGCTCTCGTGGATGCGCATGTGGCCGAATAGGCCCATGCGATGTCGGAAGGTGCGAGGGCATTGTGGGCAGTGGAGGCGAGTGCGGTGGGTGTAGGTTGGTGCTCCTGGCACTGGTTCACCAGTCTCTGTGCGATGGATTCGCAAGTGACCGACCAGGCCGATGCGTGAGGTGAAGGTGCGGTCGCAGTGAGGGCAGGTTTAGTCCTGATCCTCATCACTGGAATCGGGAGGGGTGGGGGCGGTTGCGGTTATCGTGTCGTGGTTGGCGATGTGTGAGACGGCAGCCTGAACGGCCACCGCTGGGGCAGTGGAGGAGAAGGAGGAGGATGGAAGTGGTGGTGCAGAAGGAGTGTCAGAGTTAGTTGCCGGCACAGAGGACGAGGAAATGGCGGGCTGGGGGACGATGGCTGGAGCAGTTCGAGAGGTGCATTTGGTTCGAAGATGTCCAACAAGTCCGATTCGTGCCCGTAATGTCCGTTGACATCGAGGACACTTAGGGAGCGGTTGTGCGGCGGCGTTGCATATTGGGCGAAGTTGTGATTTGCGGGCTTCGCGTTTCACTTTGGCGGCGGCGATGCGGTTGGCTTCGTAGATAGCAGCGCCCGTCTTCACTGATCTCCTCCATGTCGGACGATCGCGGGCGAGCTCTTCCCAATTGGTCGGGTTGATTTACAGGCGCTTCAGGGAGGACTTCAGAGTATCCTTGTAACGGCGAATTTGGCCTCCTTGACGACGAGAACCCGTCGCGACGTCTCCGTAGAAGAGTCGTTTGGGTAGTCGCTCGTCGTCCATGCGCACCAGATGGCCGCTCCAGCGCAGCTGCATTTGTCTCAACATGGATTAGATGCTGAGGATTCCCGTTCGTTCCAGCACTTCGGTGTCGGGGATGCGATCCTGCCAGTTCAGCCTCAGGATGCGGCGGAGACAGCTGAGGTGGAAGTGGTTTAGTCGACGTGCCTGCCTCGTGTACACCGTCCAGGTCTCCGCTCCGTACAGTAGCGTCGGCAGGATGACGGCCTTGTACATCTTCAGCTTTGTGCTCAGTTGGAGACCATGACGATTCCAAACTGTGCTTTGGAGTCGACCGAAGGCTTGACTGGCTTTCGAGATCCTGTTGGCGACTTCGTCGTCGATCTTGGTGTTGCGGGAGAGCGTGCTGCCCAGGTACGGGAAGTTCTCTACCACTTGCAGGTGAGTCCCATTCACGTTGATTTGCGGCCCGTTGGGGGCTGTGGCTGAGTTGGGAGGTGGCTGATGCATCACCACCGTCTTCTGCGTGTTGATAACCAGCCCAAAGTTCTCGCAGGCAGCGGAGAATAGGTCCATGCTCCGTTGCATCTCCTCTTCCAAGGTGGTGTTCAGGGCGCAGTCGTCGGCGAAGAGGAGTTCGCGCACGGTGGCTGTGGATACACGCGATTGGAAGTTCATGCGCCGTTGATTCAGGAGATGACCGTCCGTTCTATAGGCGATGCGGATTCCAGGGCGTTCGTCGCGGTAGGCGTCCATCAGCATGGCAGAGAACATGAGACTGAAGAGGGTAGGCGCCAGCACACAGCCCTGCTTCACTCCGTTGGTCACTGCGAATGCCTCTGAGACAGCTCCGTTGTCCGTGACCCGCGCCATCATACCGTCGTGCAGCTGACGCACCATCTGAGTGAATCACTCCGGACAGCCGAATTTCTGCATGATCTTCCACAGTCCTTCACGATTCACCGTGTCGAAGGCTTTCGTCAGGTCCACGAAGGTAGAGTACAGGTGGGTCCGCATCTCCTGGCATTTCTCCTGAAGTTGGCGGGCGGCAATGATCATATCCGTGGTCCCACGATGACGACGGAAGCCGCATTGGCTTTCCGGCAGAAGGCCCTAATCCAGATGGTTGTTGAGGCGGTTGAGCAGGATGCGAGCGAAGATCTTCCCGTCGATGTTCAGTAGGGAGATGCCGCGGTGATTGTCGCTGACTTGGCGATTCCCTTTTCGCTTGTAAAGGTGCACGATAGTTGCGTCCTTGAAATCTTGCGGGACTTCACCTTGACGTCACATCTCCTGGAAGAGCGCAGTCAGGTGATCCATGAGTTGGGGACCTCCGTGCTTGTAGGCCTCAGCAGGGATTGCGTCCGATCCGGGTGCTTTCCCGCTGGAGAGCTGCTGCACGGCCCTGATCGTTTCCTGGAGAGATGGCGGGAGGTCGAGGTCCACGTTGGTCGCCACTTGCGGCAAGCGGGCGATGGCGGCGTCGGAGATGACGGAAGGGCGGTTGAGGACGCCTCGGAAGTGTTCGGCCCATCGCTGTAGGATTTGCGTCTTCTCAGTCAGGAGAGTGCTGCCGTCGGCGCTGAGGAGAGGAGCAGTGCCCTTCGTCGGCGGACCGTAGACAGCTTTGATCGCGGAGAAGAAGTTCTTCCATTCGTTCCGGTCCGCGTACCCTTGGATCTCCTCAGCTTTGCGAGCAGTCCAGGCGTCCTGCATCTCGCGCAGTCGTTGCTGGAGCTGTCGGCGACTGCGGTAGAAGGCAGCTTTGTTGTCCTCAGTGGGGTGATCTACGTAGGCCTTGTGTAGGCGGTTCTTCTCGGCAAGCAGATTGCTGATGGCGGCGTCGTTTTCGTCGAACCAGTCCTTGTGTTGGCGGGGAGCGCGACCGAGGACGGCGAGCGCCGTTGACTGGACCGTTTCTCGCAGTTGACACCAGCGGTTCTCCACGGAGGCGTTCTCGGCATCAGGGGCGTCTGCGGCGGCAGCGATAGGAAGGTTGTCTAGCCGTTGAGCTATCTCGTTGCTGAAATGGAGACGGTGAGCAGGCAAAGACAACATGGCAACATTCAGCTTACCTGGGGGTCGCTTACCTTGTGGTCTTCTGCAAGGCTGTAGGCGATTACGCATCTTCGAAATGACGAGGCGATGGTCGGTCCACCCGTCAGCACCCGCGATCGCCTTCGTCACCAGCAAGTCCCGCTGATCTCGCCTCCGGACGAGGACATAGTCCAGCAGGTGCCACTGACGCGACCGAGGATGCCTCCAGGTGGCCTTCTCTCGCTCCGGCAGACAGAAGAACGTGTTCGTCAGGATGAGGCGGTGTTCTGCGCAGGTGCGGAGGAGAAGCAGGCCGTTGTCGTTGGAGCCGCGGAGACCGTGGGGGCCCAGCACTCCTCTCCACGCAGTATGGTCTGTGCCGGCGCGGGCGTTGAAGTCGCCAAGGACAATCAACTTGTCCACCTTCGACACAGTCGCCAAGAGGGCGTGCAGGTCCTCGTAGAATTTGTCTCTCGCGGAATCGGGGCTGGTCATCGGTGGAGCGTAGGCGCTGATGATGGTGGCGAATTTGCCTCCACCCCGGAGAGGCAGACGGAGGCTCATAAGGCGGTCGTTGATTCCGTGCGGCAGACAGGGCAGTCGTCCCACATCATGTAATGTTTCCATGAAGTACACATGAAGTACAAGGGGCTTACTCCCTGGACTTACTTCTACGAGAGCATCAGACAACCAAAACAAGGTTATCTCCATGCCGCCCCTCGGCCCAAGTGACCATGTAGTGCATATGTGCTTTTATTCATTATTATCCGCTTTGCATAATCATGTGCGAAGAAGACGTAACATCTGGTGGGTCAACATCCGTCAGATGAGGGCGGACTTATCCGGTCTCGACTGCAGCTCAGTGTTTACGGGTAATGCCTATGATGACTGGGAGTTGTTCTGGAACGGCCTTCCTCAGCTCATTAACAACCACTGCTTACTGATGAGTGTTAGAACAAGCGACCTGTGCTGCTAAATAGCAGCCTAAAGAAAGAAATTATCATAAAGCGTTAACTGTGGAGAAAATGCTTCATCATTGGGCAAGTTGAGTATTTCAACACCTATATGACACAAAGAAACAAACTGATAAGCATGATTATAAAGACGCACCGAGGATTAGAGAAGAATTTGCTACGAAAAGTAACAAAGAACTAAAAATTACCCTACATCACCACAAACTTGCTTCAATCTCCCCAGAACTGGACTCGAACTCTCAACGACGACCACGCCGTCCGCATCGCTTTCATTGACTTCCAGATGGCGTTTGACACTGTGCCAAACCATAGACTCTTTTACAAGCTAGAAAAAATCGGGGCGAAGGCGACTTCCTTGAATTGGTCGAAAACTTATTTGTGGGTCGGTTGCAGGTCGTGTACATCGGTTAAGGAAACTCGGATCCTGCTGTGGTCAAGAGTGGTGTTCCCCAGGGTTCATTACTGGAACCCACTTTGTTGCCAATGCACGTGGACGATTGCGCAAGAGCTTTAGACTGCAAAGCAACAACATGTGCTGACGACATGAAGATGTCGAGTATAATTCGAGGCCCTGCCGACAAAGATAGACTGTAGATGAACGCATATCTGTTGGAGAAGCAGTCAAACTATTGGTTACTGCGGTTGCATGTCGGTAAGTGTGCTTTACTTCGCTTAGGCAACCCAATCAGGTACGGCAGCACAAGAGTTTGCTTTTTTGTTGGCGCAGCTTTACGAGAAGTCGAAATTTAAAAAGACCTTGGTTTGCTGACGACGAACTTCCTAAAACCATCCGCCCACTGTTCGAGAGTTGCAAAAGGCGCAATGTCCGTACTGTACGCGATAAAGCGTGCGTTTATGAACTTTGAGGAAGACGTCTGCGTAACATTCCTCGGGTTACGGCACACAAGTCTGGAGACAGTAGGCGTGTGACGCACGCACAACCAACGGCGAACGCAACACCACGGTGTACAGAAAGGCGACTAACACGACTCAGATTCTCAACTACCACAGCAACCACCCAATGGCGCATAAACGCAGCTGTGTTAGGACACTCTTCCAGAGGGTAAAAACGCACTGCAGTGAACCAGAGGGACGAGTACGAGAACTTCGGCATCTTCGGGACCAACTGGCAAGGAATGGATACCCGAACAGCTTCGTCAGCCGCTGCCTCCGCACGCGCCCACGGCGAACAAACGGAGGAGAGCCACCAACACTCTGGCACCCTCTGCCATATATAAAGAACGTATCCGAAGCGATGGAACGTATCGCTGGAGAGCTCGGCGTGGGTATCGCTCACCGTCCGACAGCGACCATGCGCAGCAAAATCATGCAAGTGAAGGATCGCCTAGACGTGGGTGAACAATCGGCCGTCGTCTATCAGATCCCATGTCGGGACTGCCCTCGCCACTACACTGGACAAACCGGACGATGACTTAGCTCACGAATAACGGAGCACAAACGGGCGGTCCGGAGAGGCGACCCGTTGTCTCAGGTCTCAACTCACACCCTAGAGGAAGGCCACGAATTCAACTTTGCGAGCACGCGGATAGTGGCGCGGGCCAGCAATAAGACAGGACGAGAACTGGTAGAGGCCTGGGTGTCTGACACCAACGCTATCAACAGGCACGTTGATATACCCCCCTGCTATCACGCGCTCCGTTCCCGCGGCCAAGGGGCGAGACCCAATTTCCAGCCAAGGGTGCACGCGGTCACGCCACTGTGAGACGGCGTGGGACGCAACTTATCGCGAATACCACCCTCTGCACTCATATCTCCCCCCCCCCCATCATGGCGTGACTACAAAAACCACTCATTTGATGTTGCGTTCTCACAGTCTCTGACGATGGCCTCCTGTACGAGACCGAAAGCTCAGACTAATTAACCCACTGTCCCAGAGATCGGGTCTTCATCTTCTTTACAATCATTAAAATATTTGGGGGACAACGCTCCTTTTCCTATGCAATCCGTTTAACAAACCTCAACCGCTTTTCTTTGAGTTAAAGACAACTGCGCAGAATCTCTCACAAGCATTCCGCATTGTGAAGGGATTAGACTGCAGCCTGGCCTCTGAGGGCCTTTTTGGATTCCCTACCATGACCAACCCCTAAGGTCACACGTAAAAATTGCGCACTTAGTAGGCAAGAGTGTCTATGCGGAAGTTCTTCCTCTTTGTCAAAGTGGTCAAACCGTCGAATGTCCTCCCCGCACATGCTGTCATGTCATCATCGATCTAAAGCTCTAAAAGGAACCTTGACATATTTATGTCTCGAAATTAACAAGAGCTATGAGAGATCGAGCCGAGCCCCGAGACTCGTCCTACACTTTTCGTATTATTATGGGCACATTTGTGCAATTTTGACTCACGTGTTTTCTCTGTGCAACGAATCAAATTTTACATTGCAAATAGGGCACCCAAAGTTTCATGCCCATTTCCCACAATAAACTGAACTGAACTGAAAAGTCAGCTTCCCGGTCTGTTCATTCACATACGCCTGGGTAGGACTGAAAGTATACGTGGGGAAACGTCTTCTGGACTTACGTTAGAGGAACACCTGAGGTCAAAATCACAGAAAACTGTGGATCTTTCAAGAAGCTCTCTTTGGATACGTGATAACGCATATTTACTGAGGCGGGTTATATTTCAGCCGCATCGAGTTCTTCTCGATTAGCTCATCGCTGAGCGCTACATTGCGGAGGATTTCTCAAAATCATAAAAAATGGCTTGGGAAGTGGGGATTCCACCAAGGTTATCGTATTTGACCTATTATTAACCATATGATTTACCTTAAATTCCCGACTCTTATTCGATATGGATGTAGAAGTCTTAATATAAGGAAGTGCCTCTTTTACATCTCTGTATAAATGACAAAAATTCCTTCGAATGGTTTCGTTTACAGAATGTTCCCCAATTTTCGGGCGCAGATCTGACTTGTTTGATCTCTACTCACCTAATCTTGATGTGCTTCTGTTTCCAAAATCGAATCAGTCCTTGCTGATGGACTAAGTTTAAAATATAGAAACAACATGTGGACCAAACAGCGGCCATAGAAGTTCAACCCACGACATGCCTTTGGACGTTGAAAGGCCAAGGTTTCCTTAGTGAACAAGAGTTCGATTCCCTTAAACCCACGGACACAAGCATTTCAAGGCCGCATCTTCCTTTGCGGCCGATATTGGACATGTGCAATTCGTCGTATCATGCTATTGCAAAGTGGCTTGAGGAAAAACTTAAACCTATGCGGCACAGAATAGCACTACACAGCTTGCGAGACACTGTCGGATTCATCGATTCCGTATGAAATATGAATCTCAAAAGAAATAATATGTTATCGTTAGATGCCGCGTCCTTGCTCACTAATATTCCCCTCACGGAAACGATAAAATATTTATGCGAAGAGGTAGTTAAGCTGGAATTCCCAACTGGCATGCCAGTCTCAGCCCTAAACGAGCTGCTCCTTCGCTGCACGCGAATGTCCAATTCAGATTCAACGGTCACCTTTACCACCAGGTCGAGGGAGTGGCGATGAGATCATCCCTTGGACCCCTTCTAGCGGATGTATTTATGGGGAAATTAGAGAAGAATCAACTCTATCGCGTGACAAAGTACGTCGATTTCTATTCTCGATATGTTGATGACATTTTTGTAATGGTGGATGATGAACACGACTTGGATGTCCTTCTGATTAAAGTAAACAGGGTTCACCCAGCGTTAACCTTCAATTTGGAAAGAGAGAAGGGTGAATGTCTGCCGTTTCTCGACGTCCTACTCAGCAGAATGACTAAAGGAACAATTGGTAGAAGTGTATATCGCAAGAAAACATGGACAGGCCAATATACCAATTTCTACAGCTTTTTTTCTCTTAGTCAGAAACGAAACTTAGTCCGTTGCTTAACATCCTTTTCAAGATCAAGCCGCTGGTTTTAAATTTGAAGATAAGTGGAGGATATTATTTTAAGTGGTCTTTCTGTGAGACCTAACGATTTTAATACCTGTTTTTGGTTGAATTTCCTTAAATACAGGCCTCTTCTCTCAGAACTGCCTGCCACCATCTCCTTTTGAGTTCTGCTAGTCTATGCCCGTTGTTCACTAATCGCACTCTGCAATTATCATTTTGTGCATCCGATTTCTCTCTAACTGTTGTAATTTATTTTTACATCGTTAGCCCCTAGCTGAAATTCAGTCAACTTGTCTGCCAGAAGTTTTCTTAATCACAAATTACCTCGAGACAAGATGAGACCAAAAGTCACTGGTCGACGTAAGCTCTCGGCTTCTGTAAGTAAACATGGCCTAACTAAACGTAAGTCAGAAGCTTTACCTAAATCTAAGTCAGATGATATTACTAGTCAGTCGTCACCCGTTGTAATTGGTCGGCAGCTTAATATGTCTGCACTTGACCACTGCAATGACTTTATGCTAAAGTTTGGCTCTTTGCTGACAATTCTTGGACATTTATTCGACTGGAACATCTCCGATATTCCCTCTGAAGAATGTGGGCGTCTCGACTCACTTGTTCATCTGATCGCCAGTGAATCTAGGGATAGACAGAAGCGTTCTTACAACTTTCTGCTAAAAATGTTCCTCGACCTGCTCGGCCAATTGATGTTGCGACCAATTTCCTGTATTCATGTGGTTTCAACTATAAAATAGCCGAT